GGGTTTTGACGTGTTTGTGTTGTTGTCTGCAGTGTTAGACAACAACCGGTAACAACAACAAAAGAATGTTGATATATATATCACAACAAAACACAACAATATTGAGCCGTTACTCCAAAATATCTACTTATTGGGTGCAACCGTTTTATATGGTGTCATCGTATCTAAAAATTATTGGGTCTGTCCTTGTGATCAGTAGACCGGTCCCCACACATTGGATGACGAGTTAAGGAAGCGGTAACTGTACTTGATGTCAGGGTCTTTCGAAGACATCCTTGACAAACGGATTTTTCAAAAGGAATGTTCTCTAAGTTCATCAATCCTTGTGATTTTTATGTGAATTTGTTAAAAGGGCTCCAACTGAACGAAGATGTGGACCGATAGATCACTGGTTTTTCAATACGCATATGAAAATCTTCCTGCCATATTTGATGTCATGGCGGCTGTAAATTAATAGTACATGCTCTAACATACTCGATTCCCACTCAAATCTAGTTTAAATACAAGTGACGACATCCTCATCAAAAAAATACTCGTATCGAATTAAACAATCTTGATTGCTAAAGAACACACAATATTCTTACATTATCCGCAATTAGAAAACACCATCTCAGAGTAGCGATCGAGTATAGAACAATCGACATCAAATTCAAATATCTTCCAATTTTAATGGTAATTACCGTTGATTTCATTGTAGATAGTGGTTTATGTATGAGGGTTACTATCTTCCGTTAAGACCTATATATGTTGGGTCGTTGTTTGTGCGGTTTTTAATTGGTGGATCATGTTGGATATATTGTTCATGGTTGATGGCAACGCCGAAGCTCGTTAGCACATGATCAATTTCAGATGTCGTTCATATGTTGTGGCTGTCTGTGTTACATGTCAAGGTAGAGGTTGGATTTTGGTGACATGGCACACACATACTAAAGGGTGTCACACAAACTAAGATGGGACCATGTAAGGTCACATATGTCTCGGTACCATGCGGGCGAGTTGCATGCGACCTTTTATTATAGAGTGTCATATCTAAAGGCGTTGTAATAAGTTTATATGACTTTTTTGACGTCGTAATAAATTTTTTAGGACATTTTTAATATAAAGCGTCTCATTAGCAACTTTATAGGACATTATTTGAAAATTTGTCCTATAAAAACAAGTGTTGTATAAAAAAATTGAGTTTATAGGACAATTTCTCAAAAGTGTTCTATAAAGTTGCTAATGCGACGATTTGTGTAAAAATGTCTTAAAAAACTTATTAAGACGTCCAAAAGCATTATATAAACTAATTACAAAGTCTTTAGATAAAACGTTTTATATTTTGGTTCTATATCAATCACAATTAATGAGTGGGATTAAGATTAAAAGTGATCAAGAGTTCAAATCTTTTTTTTACGATATTAAAAATAAGAAATATATGTGAGCATTTAGGATATTATATACTTATGGGTTTCGTACGAGAAAGAATTAATGGGTGTGTAGCAAACGTAAGGGAACGTGTCCCACGAAATTATTTATTCTTCCCGTGCATTTATGTTCTTAGCATAACAACATTTATTCTATTTTTAGATTAAATGGATAACAACATTTTCCTGAATTTGACCACGTCTATGCATTCATTGAACACCACCTTCACAAATATTACTAAAATAATTAATAAACAATATCTTTTTTTTATTAATCTGGATATCCAACCCGCTATGCGAGCCGTTTATTTCCAGGACAACCACATGTTTTGCATGTAGTTCGGAGTCACCGCATTTGAACCTCCGTAGTCACAAGGGGATTTTTATTCCTACTTGGATTTGAATCTGAGACCTCCTTTGTTAATGGCAAATTTCTTACATTATAAAATAAAAGGGTTTTAATCATCGATAATCCATCAGTGAAAGTCTATTGGATAGAGTATGATGGGTGGAAGCCATCATCAACTGACTTTACTGACGGATCATTGATGGCTGCCTTTACTGATGGCAAGATATCACCGACGGTGATATTCATTCACGAATCACCGACGGTTAGTTATCTAGAAAAACATAGAGCTTCATGTGTTTTGAACAAATAGACAAATAAAGTTCCAACCTTTATGCCATGAACAAGACGTAGCATTCAAAAAACTGATCATGAACTAAAACTCATGCTCTGATATGACTTGTTAGTATTAGATAATCAAAATTGTGTTACTCAAAAACCATAGTTCTAACACTACTTGCTTGGTAATGTATGATACAATCCCATCATAAAACCATAGTCGTAAAGACCTCGCCTGCAATCGCGTCGAGCATCTATTGAGCCATGGGAGTTGATCCATTGTAGAACGTTTCGAGTTGAATACAGTAAGAAATGTCATGGTGAGGGCATTTTCTTAACAGCTCTTTGAACCTCTCTCATGCATCAGGAACAGCTGTATCGTCCAATTGTTTAAAAAGACAGATTTCATTTTTGGACTTAGCGTTCCTGGAGGGTGGAAAATATTTTCGCAAAAAAATTTCAACCATAGTACTCCATGATGGTACAAAACCTGGTGATAATGAATTAAACCATGATTTTGTCCAATCCCATAAAAAATGGAAATAAAGTGGGTCTTAGAGTGTCGTTAGACACTCTCGAGATCAAGAAAGCATCATGACCAAAAGAGTAATGTTCGTTTTGGTCCCTAACGTTTGCCCATCTTAACAAATCTCGTCCCTCAACTTTGTTTACTTAGTTTTGGTTCCTCATGTCTGTCAATTTGCAACAGATTTCGTCCCTTCATCAAACTGAAATATACGATTTGTGTTTGGATTGGATGAGGATGGAGGATGGATGAGGGACGGGGGACAATGGTTGAGGTGGTGGTCCACTATGTGTTTTTAGACGACGATATTTTGGCATGTTTTCGAGGCCTCGAGGGTGGATGGTGGTGGGTTGACAAGGGTGGTCCTCCTTCTAATTAGGGGTGCTCAAAAACCCAACCAACCCGATCAACCCAACGCGAAATCACTCAACTCGAAGCAATCCGATGTCTAATCAAGTTGTAAAAATTTTAAACCGTTGAGATTGGGTTACTATTATTTGAACTCAACGCAACCCGATGAACCTGATATCCTTTTATTTTTTGGATTTAATATGATTGTTGAATTTCTATTAATATATGCATTAGACAATAACACTATCACGTACGCTCTTCATATACACATCTTTTCAATCTATTCACATCTCTATATAACTCATTCATATATATGTTCGGTAATTGTAAACATATACACGTAAATTGAGAAAATTAACTGAATGTGATATACGTAAGAAGTATGGATAAATTGTATCAAATGGTTGATGATGAAAAATAAATTATGAGTAAAGAAATAATATATTCAAAGTTAGAAGAATATTTTAAGGTACCAAAGTATCAACCCGAGCAACCCGTATGGGTTGGGTTGCACTTGCGTTTGGGTTGGATTGGATTAAGATTTTTCAAACCGCAAGCATTAGGTTGGGTTGATCAAATGTCTTCAACCCGAACAACCCATGAAAACCCTACTTCTAATGTAGCATTCATCTAACCAGAAAGGAAAGAAACGGGAAGATGATATAGAGACCAGGGGGTGGGGTTTTCTATAACAAAGATTGGGTGGTGAAGTAAGACAAAGATGAGGGTGGGGCTTTTCCTTTTTTTATGGTTTTAATAATATATAATATAATATATTTTTAATAGACAATTAAAGAAAATGGATAAAATGACCCAAATAATCCTCATTAAACTGGATTTAACAGGAAAAGTTAATGTCTGTTAGTAGGAAGGAAAAAATTGGTTGGAAATTGACAAAGGGTGAGGAACCAAAATCGAGCTAATGAATATCATCATTGACAACCATTAACATCCAAATTCAATATCCAAAATCCTCAAAACCAAGAAAAACCATGAAGTACCATAAGAGTGGTGTCGCCTGATTGGTTTGAGCTTGGCTCCAAAGGTCAAAAGTACTAAGAGATCTCAGGTTCAAATTTCCATCATGGTCGAAAGTGAGGTTGTCGTTGATGAAGTTATATAGTGGTGGTTGTTAGTAATGAAGGCGAGGTTGTTGAGGGACATCAAGAAGGGATACATGAAAATCAAGTGATTATATCTCAATCAGAAATTGATTATGTAAGTGAAGAAGAGTTCATGCCACAACCTCCTATTGCACCTCAACATTCAATTCTTCAACGATCACCAATTGCAAAAAAGAGAATGAAATCAGACAGAATAGTCAAAATCAAACTCAGAAACCATGTATATGACAAAGATGGAGGTGGAAATTCAATAGACAAGGCTCTTGGTACAAATTATGATTTGTAGATGGCGTAAAGTAACCTTTCGTATATTTTGTAGAAAGGATGGGCACAACTTTTGTATGCATCTATTTATGTTTGGCACAACTTTTGTATGCATCTATTTATGCTTTGGACACAACTTTTTATGCATCTGTTTGTGTTGTGAGCACAACTTTTATATGCTTTAAATAGCTAACGGAAATGGTATATTCATTTTATTTTATTGGTCCCATTTAATAATCTATTTAATTGATTTTAGAAAGTCCTTCAGAACTCAAGAACTTGCAAAGTACATCAAACAATTTATGCATTTTGTTAACCAACAAATCTTAAATCACAACCATTTATTTGAAAATTTTGTTTTTTCTTTAACAAGTCAAAAATATTTACATAATTTGCAAGATACGAATATGGAACCACGATCATTAATTCAAAAAGACTGTTAATACACACATATATGTGCCATTCGAGAATACGTATAAAATCAGTACATAAAACACGGAAAAAAACCGAAAAAACTCTTGGAAGGAAAAAGATGGCTTTTAAATTGCATGTTGGTACGTTTTTGTAATTTTTATCAAACGAGCAAACACTAGGTTCGACCACCATCAGATGCAATCATATCATTATTAATGCATAGGATCTCATCAAAACTACAGATTTATAATTATCACCAAGAGTGTATATCAGACAAAAACATTTGCATATTCTCTCCAAAAACTGAAAAGAGGCAATTGAATAAATTCAATTTCGAGCAACTGCACAAGCAACAACAATCCAAACCAATTCACACGAAAGAACAATAGACCTCTGAAGATCAGAGTTTATGTTCCTCTTAGAAAACCAAACTCTTAGCACCATGAGATGCACTCATTATAGCAACGAAATTACACATTTGCTCTGAAGAAACCCCAAGATTCTGAAACACAACCACACATAAAAACACGAAGATGATAGATAGCATGACTATGATGAAGTTAATGTCGGATAAACCCAACTCAAGTAAGATCATCTTCCTCATCTTCCTTCGCCTTCAGAAGCAGCTTCACTCTCAACAGAAGGGTCGTCTTCCACTCATCCTATGCAAAAGGATTTCCGAACAAAACATAAATAGCAACATTTCAATGTGTCGAGCATAAAAGAATTTAACTTCAAAACATAAGGTCTACATATATCCTACCCTACAGACCCTACATATGTGTGGGATGTATTGGGTTCTTTAGTTAAAAACATTTCATGCCAAAAACAATTGCTCTACTTTTTGGGATAGACTGCAGATCCCCCTAGCAGGACCCCACCTTCGGTGGGAGGTGAGGTATTGTGCTTGTTTGGTTTGGTACAATCATATATTGAATTAAAACCCAGAAATTAGGAATACACTAATGATGGTAGATCAATTACCAGCTTAGTCATGCTGTCAAATTCCTTGACAGCGTCGGTGAACTTTGCAACATCTTCCTCATCCAGTGCAGCAGCTAAATCCTACAATAAGAGATAAAAGGATTTAAACGTAGTAACGCACCAATAAACTGATCAGTAATTGCCAAATATAGTAATTACGGTTTCAGTTGTGGTGTTCAAATAGAAAAACAAGTTACGTTGTTCAAGAAACTTCATGCATATGAAATATTTGCACATTGAAATATAGTATTCTGCAAAAGGTATATCTGGAGAATCAAAAATGTTCCAAAGAACTGTATCATTTTGAAGGTAAAATATTTGAGTCTCAAAACTCGAATGTGGTATTTTTTTCACTTTTTTGTCCTACTATTTCACACTGTTATAAAATTATAAATTTAAACAAATAACATGAGGAGCTATTCATAACATACCGCCAGTAATCTGTATTCACGTGTTCCTGAAAATGTTGGATCCAGTTCCTGCAAAAGCAAATGACACTTTAACTCGGTATATGCAACTTTACAGGTAAAATTTTAGCTGACTGACAAAAAGCCAGTATATTACCTGATAACGCTCCAAAGCATTTGTGATTGCAACAACATCACCTTTACAGAGTTGGCAAATGCCCGCATTAAGTAGATGACCTCTGACTCCATATTTTAGCAAGTTATTGTTGATAGATTGTCGTGCTACAGCTTCATAAATCTCTATAGCTTTCTGATATCTGGATAAGCATGGCAAGGCTATTAGTCTTGGAACTGTTTCTTTTCACATTATGAGAAGTAATCACACTCTACTTTTGATGGCTACTTGCTATAGAAATGCCAATGCAATCTTGTTCAAGTTAGAGACAGAACTCTCTTGAGACAGAACTCTCTTGAGACAGATGAAAGGCATACTAACCAAAATGAACATAAACAGAATTATATATTTACGAATGTTTGTTTTTGACTTGTCAGTGAACTCTACAAAAGGATCTAAAGCATACTTATCCTTTTAGCAGTGGACTGAACATGCACCCTATCCTTGCCAATTTCTTGATTTGACCACTTATGAACTGACATAGGAGGAATACAAGGAATTTAAATATAGCGTTTGATCTGGAGAAAGCATATGTTATATTAAGTGACTGAAAAGTCTGAAGGGTAAGTTCTATAGGACAAAAGTAAGGCCTGTTATGATTTACAGGGTTGAGTGTCAAGCCACCAGAAGACAACATGCATGCAAAACGAGTGGAGCATACACACATACTTTGAGGTGAGCACAATAAGGGATAGGTATAAGCAATGAGTATATGTGAAAAAGGATGGGATAGAACTGATCTGGAAGCATGTGCAACACCATTTGAATTGGATTGGATACTGATGTAGACCTTCAATTGTGCCTTTTACAAGAGGCCTCATACCAAGATGGGGTCATTAGGAAAGGTGCAAGTCAGCATTCACATTGGGGGAAGTAGCATGATTAGGGAACACAAAAGGCATTGGCCCATTGTATGAGTGTGTGGAAAGACATTACTTCTACCCGAGAACCCTCGGCGGATCACATCTCTATGTTTGCTTCTAGGTTGCACAATTTTCTAATTTCTTTTCTGCTTTATATCTATCCTACTTCTAGTTTGGGCGAAAAGACTTGTCATAAGGACACAGTTTGACAAGTGTGGCAAAATTAGCAATGGAGATGCCACACAAACATGCATATTGACAGTGAAATAAATGCCAAATGTTTTTCTTGTATGCTGCATGCTTCATCAAAGCTAAGCAATTGGTTTTAATGGAAGCTTCAAGTTTGCACTTTATAAATTACTTGGGAACAGCAAGTGAATTTCTATAAAGATGAGCACATGTATTACTTATGGTGTTATGAAGTGGATGTGATACCTGCTCAGGCTTAATAGTAAACATAATACCTACAAGGAGGAAGCAAACTTACTGTTCCAGCTGAGCTGAAAATTGTGCAATTTTCTGCTTGCACTGGTTTGCAGAAGTTGTTACTTCTTCACCTTGAAAAAGATCAGCTGCTCTATCATAGTAAGCGATGGCCTGCTCCAAGTTCTGTTCCTGTTCATATAACTCCGCAATTTCCTGCACAGAGTGAAGGTAAATAAGGCCAGCCATCTCTGTAACTTTGGCATCTCATCAACCCATGATATGAGCTAGAATGCATAATGTTTAGATTCATAATTCCGACTGTCATAGTTTCTTTTTCAAGGTTTTTACCATAAAATTATGTCTAGCAAACAGTAGCAACTATAGAACTAAGCTCATACCCAATCTTCTTTTTCTAGGTAAGCTCAATAAACACCACAAGCATAAGCTTTTATTTATTTCACTATTACAAAACATGAAGGGGAATGAAGTAAATTCATTTATTGCAGATGCTTATTGAGGATTCTATCATGACATGAGAAGTAATAATCTAGGCATATAATTTATGTGGGAAGAAAAAATTATTTTAATCCCTTCTAGGCATTATCCAACGCCAGCAGTCAACATGCTTAAACAAACAGTGACCCAGCCATTAGTAATAATCATAACACCCCACTTACAAACTACAAAGTGATCTACCGTTGCTTTACATAGAAGTAAACTTTTAACCGCTTTAGAAACATCAGAAAGTTCTTCATATTCCCAGGGAAAGACCCAGGTGGTGCATGTGGTGGCACGGGCCACCGCTTCGTTCCTCCTTCATAGTGTAAAAAATTATCGGGTCGCGAAAAGTGCCACCGTATCGATTTGTTGTGTGCCACCGTATATATTTTGAAACTACAATGAGGACACAAGTTTCCCTTAGTAGAGCTGGTTTGCAAGGCTTTTCTTCCACCCCAGACCCGAGTTCGAATCCCGTTAGTGTCATTTTCTTAGTTTTTAGCTTTTAATTTCAGATTTATTATGTTTCTGGAAAAAAATTGCAATAGAATACTTGAATAGGACCTCACATATGAGAAGAAATGAACTAACCAATAGATCAATGATGATTTTGTAATAAATAACACTATATTTGTTCCTTATAGTTAAATGGTGTCACTGCTTGAAAAAATTTCTAGGTCCCTCTCTGCACATGCCAGACTTAAAACAAATATTCTGCAGTCCAGTTTTGTCATCTGTTACCCCCAGTGAGGGCCTTAGAGATAACAAGCTTATTTGATTACAGTCATATAAGCATACATCAGCAGATGTCATCTCTATGAAGATGAAAAAATCAAGATCAAAATCCTTGTGGTCCTTTACGCATATATTATATTCTTGATCCGACTCGGCCCATCCCAAGTATTCAACCAAGCTTTGCCAGCTTTATACCATCACTTTATGTTTCCAGATTTCTTTGTATATAAAATAATATGAACACCATGCTGGTTAGGCCTAAAGCAGAGTAATAACTATCAGCATTCCTATCCATTAAACTTCAATAACAGGTTAATTTTGAAAGACGTGATTCAAATGAATTTTCCCATGTCTGAAAACTGAGAGAATTCAGTAAGGGGCTTAACCGACACTGATTTATATTGACTTGGCTAAAAGAAATAGATGATGTACCTTGCAATATCTTGCAGACATGCTGAGCCTCCCAATTTCCATGAACAAATTAAATGCATGCTCTAGGCAAGCTATGCACTCTGCATTCAACAAATGATACAAAGAAAAAGGTTTCCATGTTAAGATGTTAGAAATGGATAACATTTGCATGACAACTTAGTAGATAATACATAGACAGCCTAACTTGGGAGAACTAACAATTTATAACAAAGTGCAATGCTATCAGGAAACCATATCCAAATATGATTTTGGTGAAGGCACCAAAAAATTGGTCACTTGAAAGGAAGAAGACAAGCAGACAAGCAAATGCAGACATTTAGAGACCAGGGTTAGCACCCCCTCCCCCCCTCCTCTTAAATTTATATACTATATGTTTGTGTGAACAAAGAAGCTAGCTAAACTGGTAGATGATACATTCATCATCTTATTGTAATTCATGTCATATCCCTTGAACGGTATTGCGATCTCTTTTTCAATCTTTTCATCTAGCTGTACTTCTTTCATATCCTTATTTAAAATAGCAAAAGTTTCAACTAAATCTTTTATATCTATTATTTGACACCTCAGTGACAACGGAAAATTCATGCATCACCTGCTCTCCCGACGTTGTTAAGTATATTTACCGTCCATGTTGGTGTTAGCCATTTGATATATGTATTTTCTCCAACTGAATTTCTTCTTTCAAGTTTAATTGCTCAAACAAGGTTTGCTGAAGAAAATTTCTTTTTCCACACAAAATAACTAATTGTTTTCTATTAACTACATAATGTATAACCTTCTTAGATTATATTAATAGAGTTTTACGGGGTTTATGTATTAAAAGATAAATGATTTTCTTAATTTTATCATTTGAATGAAGGACTCATTTAATTTGAGAGGAAACGCATATTAAATGACCCATGTTCAGTACAGGATAAACAATAGATCACAAAGCTTATGCAACACATCTCACTGTGTGTTTCTTCTGCATGCAAGATTACTAGAGACCAAATAGATGATACAGTCACATTCAAACAGTTTTGCACACTTTTAGAGGCTTTAGTTCATTTGAATCTGCAGAAAACTTATAAACAACTCAAGCATAAAATGGAGGGCAAAAAAATAGTTGCCACAAGAAAAGGTCGTCTTTCTTGATCTGTTTTGACTCTTAACATTTTCAGTATTACATCTACAACTAAATTTACTGTTTTTCCTATTGGCAGTGGGATGACTTTTAATATGTTCTTCAACGACACCTCCTTATCCAATTCTAGGCTAAAACGTCTTGGAAGCTTATCACAAAGCTTGAAGTTCTGGTATTTAACATATGAACACGTATAAAATCGCTTTCAAGTTTCAAAACAGACATCACTTAACGGGGGATGACTTTTTGTTAACAATTTATCATTTCTATTACCTTCTAAAGGGAGAGGTTATGTTGAACTAGCACAAGCAACATGGAAAAAAAAATTGTGTGCTTGATACGACAATAGAACTTGGCCACGTCCAACTAACTAATGCGTGCTTGACCTCAAAATCAGCCTACAATATACCATTAGAAGGTGCTGAAAAGGGTGTGCAAGACAGTGAAATAAATGCTGAAAACATGCTAACCTTTGGTGTTTGTTTTCTTGTACGAATGACCTGCATCAGCATAAGCATTAGCAGCTTCATGTTTGCTTTCCATCTGTAAACATTAAAGTAACAATCAATATGAACAAGGACAATGACAAAGAACAGATGAAGAAAACAAGCTATGCAGAGCAGATCAAACACTTGCCTTCAAATAACACTGGGCCAACTTGACATATACAGCTCCAGCTTGATCCCCTGAGAATTATGTATCAGATTAGCAAGAAGAAAGAATATTAAGCAAACAATGCCAGTAGAGGTAAATTTCCAACCTCCACATTGTTCTTTCATAGATGACAAAAAAACAGAAGAACTTCAAACAACAAAGACTCACCAGTATTAGAGTAAAACGTAGAAAGTTATAAATGAATGTTCAGTGTCAATTTAGATGGAAAAAAATCTACTGATTAGATAGCCATACATGCACACAAAAAACAAGAAGAGACAAAAACAAAAGAAGACAGAAGATTCCAAGTTCCAACTACAGAAATAAGTGTAGAAATCAGTTCAATGAAGGTATTAGTAAAGCCAGAAGTGTCTACAAGTGCCTCTACTTAAACTATTGATAAGCATCTATCGGCTGAAGTATAGATGATAGCCTACATAATATATCACAAGTGAAATCTTAACTTTGACATTTCAACTCCCCCATAAGGCAAAACAACTACACGAACAAATTAATGACTAAGTTCCTGAAATATAGGCCATAATTTCCAAATAGCTATGTGAGATTCACCTATACAAGCTGTGAATAAAGTTGCAAAAATAAGAGCATGAATACCACCTGTAAATAATCCAAGGAACATGACAGGGAGAGAAACCACTGAAGGTACTTAAGAAACAAGAATACCAATTACTAATCCATCGGCTAATATATTTTCTAAAAGTCAACAACCAAGTGATAGAGGCCTCCTAAAATCTCTTAAGATGTTAATACGTAAAGTTGATTGAATATATTTCCTGAAATAACCAAATTTTTAAAACTTCGAAGTAGAATTCAGAAATCTAAATCTAAATTGTTTCTTCTCTCAAATGTTTGTTTATGCTTAGTTCACTCAAAGACGAATCTTTTTTTTTTGGTTGTTACCTTTTCGTGGAATAAGTAATAACCTTACTCCAGGAATTTTTGGGCATGACTTAGGGTCCGTTTACTAGACACTTACCTTGATAAGAGCTTACTGGTTCAATTAACTTACCGGGTGAACATAACAAGAACCAAGAATCTTACCCGGTAGCACTGTTTAAAAAACGTCAGAGGCATGTGCCTTGAGGCGCGCCTCAGGGCGATTCGTGCCAAAAACGTTTATGAGGGCCTCTAAGAGACCAGATTGTACGTGCGCCTTAATGGGTGAGGCGGTGGACCGGTGGGCAGAAATACATGAAGTACCTAGCAAACTTTGAGGATGCAAAACCATTTCTTTTGTTCTAAAAAACAAATCACGTTGTGCTGAATATCCAACAATTTTGATACATATGTATCTACAAAGGAGAATTGACACCGACTTCTAACTAAATCAAAATCTCTGGTGAACACATTCCAACACTTAAAAAAGGAATGTAGTAGTGCAAAATGCTAATATGATGTTACAAGCTCGTAAGGAAGTTTAAGTTGGTTCTCTTTTCTCCATGTCCTTTAACCACATGCCCATTTGACAAACCTCGTTTAATAATAAAAGGTTTGCTCAATTCAGCTATCTAAGAGAAACAACTTTACAAAAAATTTGCTCAATATCAGATATCAAAAGAAACAACTTTACAATACTAAGGGAACTCAAGTATGAGATGGTAGTGGTCCATGGTTCAAGGTGTCTAAACTATAAGTGGAAGTTAGAAAACTCCAATAACCTTTCCATCTACACTAGAAAGCACATGTATTTTGAATAAAGGTAGCTCCATAGAAGCCTTCGGAACAGATTTGCTACAACTTTACACTCTTTCTGACAGATTATTGGGGTTATATGTTTTTATAAAAAAAATAAGACTCAAAACTCCCAAGTTTCCTAAAAACAAGGTCAAAATTGAAATTTCAACATGAAACAGATTGATGATTAATTATTGATCAAAACAGAAAAATAAAAGCATGTCAATAAATAGGTTCCAAATTTAGATACAAGAGTACACCCAGACAAGTATTGCAAGCCAATGATATTGATCAAATGAAGAAAAAAGCACTACTGACATATGTTTGGGCACTGATACTTACAAGATTTGGCAAGCTTGTAGCAGTTGGCGGCTTTTTCATATAAATCGCCAGCATCTTCATACTTGGATCCAAATAGGCCCCATCCACTCAGCTTCTTCTCAGCTTTCTTCTCAAACTCTAGACCTTTTGCTATTTGATCAGACATTCTCCCCAAGCCTATTCTTTCCTTAGAGAGCTGTTCTCCAGCTCTGAGAGTTTGCAGAGAAATAAAAATAAATAATGTTACAAGTATGGAAAGGTAGGAAATCAAAGAAATGGTTTCCTCTCTGTTATTCATGAGGTTAACTTTGGAAGGAAAGTAAGTTCTTCTAGCTCTTTTGTAAGTGTATAACAAGAACAGGTAGACCATCAATTAAGTTTTCAAAGTCCAAAATACCCTAAAACCATAAATAACAACAGTAGCATACATGGATTGTGGACCACTGTCCTGCGAAAGAAATATTCCACCCAAGTTGTATGTAGGAGACACATACTAGTGGATTCAAGTCAAAGCTATTTGTATACAAGAGAGAACAATAGGTTGAAGCCTTGAAGGTTATTGACTGTACACTTTGTAAGCTGAAACCATCTCCCAAAAAATCATATTTAGTGTATGTTTACTTAGTTTTCAAGGCATTTAGATTAAAATAGTCTAAGCATTGAAAACCTGCCATGAAAAAAATGAAATCCTTACATGAAGACAGATGAAACAATAAGTCGATGAATATTCAACCATTTGAATCAATGCAGAAATGGACAATTTTCCAGTAATGGCAAAAGAAGAATTCGCCATCACTTCTTAGAGTAACAAATCTATCTGCGCCTATGCTGAAATAATACAGCTTCTCCAAAGGCAAATAGAAATACCATATTAGCATCAGAGTTCTATGAGCCTCCCTAACCCTAACCTACAAAATGAAGAGAAGAAATTATGACTTCCCACTAATTTGTCGACCAAATTGACGATTTGAGTACATCCAATATCAGTCTTCACAGATTTACCAAAAGGATCATGAACAGAAATTGAGCACACTAAATATGATTGCTGTCATCCTAGTAATGAGAAATTCACCTAGTAATAAGCATGGTGCACCCAGTTTTACTTATTATGAGACTAATTTTGATAAGGAACATCAACCATTATACGTTTATAGAGGTTTAAGCTTTTTTAGCTCAGAGACATTATGATCATTTACTTGTTCTGACCTTGTATCCAAAATAGGCTGTCTTAACTTACTTATTGGTTAATTAGCTCTCTATAAGGCCAACTGTGCATTGTAGAAAGATGACTTATATTTTAAGATATTGAGTTGGACAGTCAAAAAGCCCAAAGGCCTTTTGGCTTTTTAACAAAAAGTTACTGTCACTGATATTATTGAACACAATGCACAGTAAAACATTATTCCTATTGTGCACAAACGTCTTTGCCTAGGGCTTCTGCAGATGCCTAGTTCTTCTTGCCTCCCCCATAAATAAGACTAATGATGTATCCTCCAACCAGTCCTAAAATCTCCGAAATGATACTTGGTAGAAATCTAAACGCCACATGACCCACTATGAAAAAATCTAAGTACCGTATGATTCTGCCAAATGTCCTTTGGGATGACTTTTTAGAGAATTGGTAGAAGAATATAGCATTAATTTATAACTAATTACTTTCCCCTTACCTTGAGTTTTTTTTCTACATCATTATGACTTCTTACATATTTACACTGCATATTTTTACATTTATCAATATTTGAGATTTCAAATCTACCACAAAACTACTGAAATGCAACTTATCCCTTGGAGCATGAAGTTCAAGGTTTGGAATTGAAGTGACAGCTCAATCTAATCCAATTCCAGACTGATTTTGCTAATTCCGAATCATAGGTTAAGAGGCAAGTCTTGACACCGTTCATACATACATCATTACATATTTCACACTACTTGTTGTTTGTGCTCTAACAACTAATCCTCTACCTTCCCCGTGCAAGATCTCAGGTTCCCATTCCGCTCCATTCACGACCTGCATGATCAATCAGCCCAAACGGGTATGGTTCACAGGATCCCAGATCCTCATAATGGATCTTTTGAATGAAGACCCTGGAAACCTCACCCCAAGGAGAGTACACCAGGACGAAAACTCAATCGCCCACCCATTAATTCATAACTCCCTATAAATGTGAAGTGAAACTCTGCTCTCACGCTGAAGTTTTGTTTCTATGTTGACAAGTTGTCCATGATCTGAGACAGACAGGTCTAAAAGTACAACTACAAATCACAGTAGATTCAAATATTCTTTCTCTTTTCAAATTTGGATTACCAACTAAGCTACTATCAAGTATCTATTGAGCCTTGGCTACACAAATCAAGTTCGATTCAGAAACTTCACTCATGAACTCTTGGGGTATTAACTATTACTAGCAGTAACACAATACAAATAGCTTTCGTTAAACCCTAACGAATGAGCATCAGGAAATAAAATTTGAAATTGGAGTAATGAAATTGGTTAAACGGATCGAAATTTTTTGATAGAAACTAAGTTACTAGAAGATATAGACTCACTCGTGAGTAAATGATGATGATGAATCGGATTTACTTCAAATCTCTTTGGTACCCAGCAATTTGTGAAGTCCGATTGATCAGATTTTGATCAAATGTGTGATAGGCAGCGGCTGCTTGACGCTTTTTCCTCCTTTGAAAAGTATTGTAAACTAAGCAAAGATCTTCGGAAGGAAGTCGTTCGGTAGAAACCGAGTCTACACGATTGACAAACGTCAAATAAAATACACGTACAATCAATTTAATTTTACTTGTTTTATTTTTTTTAAAGGACAAAATACAGATAAATACAAGGGAAGTTTTATTTTATTTTTTTTAAGATCATGTTACATCCAAAACTTTTAATTATATTGTATTAGAAGCGTATTCGCGCAATGCAGCGAGATGCATCATGATTTTAATATTTCATTTTCTTCTTTATCTCAGTCGATATTATAATATGGCTTTATGTGATTTTAAGAAAGTGATAATGTTTTTATTTTTGAATAAAATATATGTTTGAAGATATCATAAAAATTTGACAAAAATATATCGATATTAGTATCAA